TACAGCAGCACGCTGAGGCCCGCTGGGAGGCCACTGGCCGAGGACAGGAGGGGGCCACAGTGGGGCTGGACCAGGAAAAGCAGTGGAGAGGCACGGCCGCCCTCCATGGGGGGCAACGGGAGGGCTAGGAAAGGGTTGGAGCTTGGGAAGTGAGCGGGAGAATGAAAGGTGGAGATAAAGCAGTGATTTCTGAAGCAAGCTCCCTGCTGTAATTTGAAATTAAGATTTTCCCCCCCTCAAATATTTCCATAGCATAGAGCCTGCTTGCACCCCGAGGTTGTCTTCCAGGCTGCTCTTTTCCATTTATGACCACACAGCATTTTACCCTTCTTTCTCAGCCCTCGCCATTCCTTAGAGAAATTGTGTCAGAAGAATACTTCTTAGAGTTACAACTCCATGTAGGTGCAGTGAAATGTATTTGTGATGCCTACTTCTGTTCTTTGTTCCATCTCCTCCTGTCTGTTATGTTTGTTTCAGCCCTAAAGGAAGGTTTCCTCAGTGCTCCATAGATTATCTTGAAGGGTAAGGAGGAGCTTTGGACCTGCAAGTGGTCAGGTCGAGGAGCTGGAGGGGAGAGCAATGATTTTGAGAGGGAGCAAGGCACTGTGGATTGTTCTGATGGATTTTGGTGAACTGTGTTACTGGATCACTGAGTCCAAGTAAATGTTATAGCACAAGTCCACATAACAGCCAGTTTATCCTTCTGAATTTTCACATCCTTCTGACAAGCTTTGCATGACACTGTTTTCCATGTACAAACTTTGACAGCCCTCCTGTTGACTAAACAGCTACAGAAAATATAATGACATTATAAAGGACTGTCATATTCTTTTTCTTAAATCTGAATCCATGCATACCATGCTAGGATTTCAGCAGCTTCTGAGAGCTCATGAGGTAAGGGATGGGCTTGTTCTAGGATGTGGAAAATTCAGTGAAAAACAAGGCATTAAAGAAAGTAATAGCTGGAGACCATTGAATGGTGAGCACTGTTCTTCATGGACCTGTCCTGAACTTGTGCCCCAGCCCAGTTGGAGGACTGCTGTTGTGCTTGGAGTAAATGTAAAACCAAAGCTGAAGCCACTCGTGCTCATTAAAGAACCCACGGCAGCTCTCGCTGTGCTGGATGAGCAACACCTTGCCCTGGTCAGACACTTATTTGAGTGACTCTCCTCTGTGCTGATTGCAGCTATTTATAAGGATTGCAGCCTATTTAGGAGGCTCCCTCCATCACTTTCTTTCTCCATTCAGTCAATGGAGGGAGAGTGCCTCTGAATTAAGTTTCTTCTCTAACTTGCCATCTGAAAGTACTTTTTTTTTTTTTTTTTCTCCTACAAATATACAAGAAGTCTCAAGAGATTAGTCTAGTAATTTAGGCTAAGATGGGTATCTAAAATTAAGTGGTGTTTACATCCCCATTCTCTGAAAGTGTCCTGCATCTTCATTCAGATAAGACATGCCTTGTCCCTTCCTCCTAAATTACAATGTCATGTTAAAGTGTTTCCAAGGTGGCACATCCATCGCACTCCCATATGCTTCTGTGAATACCCAGATGTGTATGGGGGTGATAAAACCTATTTTATTTGAGGGATCTAGCAAGCAGAAAGATACTGCCTTCGGTAAGAGAAATACTTGCAAATGTTTGTGCATGCTCAGGGATGAAGAAATACATCATCAGCTGATGAAAACTGTGGTCCTGCCCTCAGGTAATACATTTTGCAACTACTGCCCTTTGATTTAGGGATGGATTAAAGTTCAAGTGGGTGAATGCAGAACTGCGCTACCCAGATCTGCTCCTGACGAGGTGAGGTCTGGGCGAAGGGGTCTGCAGGGACAGAGGTGTTCCCAGCAAGGATTTCTCAGGCACATTCTCTGCAGCTTCCTCCTTTCCAGGCTCTGCCTGCTCCATCTGGGGTCCTGCAGCGAGGTGCCTGTCCCATTGTTCTACATCTCTTGATGCATCGACGTCTCTCTGAGGGCTCTGGGTGCCACCTTGGGTGCTGGTCCCGCTGCCAGCCAGCCTGCAGAGCCCTGCTGTTCCCACACATGTACCTGTTCTCTCCACCTAAACGGTCTAGGACAGAAGCAGTGAGTGCCCACGGTTAGTGTTTACTTTGTTAATCCCTTGGGTAATCATGCAGACAACCCAGACACCTAACTTCTGGTCCTCTCTGGAGAGGAGACCACAGCTTGCACAGGAGTGGTGCAGGATTCATGGTGTAGTTACCACAAAAGCTCAGCATGGTGAGGTGAATTGTGCCCATACTACTGCTAAGCCATATTATAAAGTCTTCCCTTAAACATCTGAGGGCAAAGCCCATGAGCTTCTAGCCCTGAGGAGGACCTGCAGGGCCAGGCCATTTCCGGATGGACCTGGGAACAAAGCTGGGTGGATGCAAATGCAATTATTTGGTTATTTACACAGAAACACCCTCCCTGTTCCTTGAAGAGGCCTGGAGCCGGGGCTCCATCAGGGGACATGCTGCTGGTTAGGGCAGGAAGCATGGCACGGGGGGCACCCAACCTGGGTGAAAGACAGCTCCTCTGACTCATCAGCCGAAAGCAAAATGAGCTGTATATATTTAAAGCAAAGCTCTATTTTAAAAATTAATGATCTGCAAGGGAGAGAGGAGAAACTGCTTCTCTGTAATGCAGAAAAAGGCCCTGATGACCACAGCCTGGGTCCCTTTCCAGATGATGTCATCATCAGTCTAAATAATAAATTTTTAACGATGTGGAAAAAAAAAAGAAAGAAGGAAATAAAAAAAGAGGGGGACTCTGTTTCAATGAGGAGTAAAAGTAACTGGTGGCAACAGGGTCTAAGGAAAATATATGGTTGGATGAGGTTTCTGCCCTGTGTAATTAGATTATCCCAAGTGTAGGAGTGAACTGCAAAAGGCACATTGAAATGCCAGTAATTGAGTGCTCTGTGTCTTCCCCTGCCTCATACCCATGCCGAGTGGAAAACTGGGGGTACTTGGAATATATACAAGGCAGAGGGGCATTCTATAACTGGGGCTGCTAATAATAGGCAGTTAAGATTAGAAAGGAAAACATGGGCTCTCATCAGCCCAGAGACCAGGGGATATTTTCCCCTCATAAATAACAGGCCACAAGAAATCTATTCAAATGGATTTGTGTTTGGTTGACAAATGTATGCAGTGTATTGCCAATGGAGAGCTCACACTGGCCCTTTAATGCGGCTTGAATTACTGGTTAACACGTTCGTTTTCAAGTATGCTGGGCTTTGTTTCGTAGCCACCCCCTGGACGTGCATCGCCTGTGGCCGTGAGCGGTGTAGGCGAGGTGGGCTCATGAAGAGTGTGGCTATGGGGAGATGTGGCACCAGCACGGATGGAGGGATTTGGGGTTTTGCACTTCATGCTGGCTCCCCATCATCGGCAGACCTCGGGCGTATTCCATGGGATCCCAGCCAGAATTGTCACGGAGAAAGCAAACAACAAATCAAACCTTAGCTAATACTGGAGTTGTGCAGGCTATCAGAGTGTGTCTGATGGCATTTTAAGCTGTATTTTAAGTGATCTGACTTCCAGATGTTATTCAGGGCTTGAAATCTGCAGGCACTGCATATTCCTGTAGAGATGGTCGAGATGGTCCTCCCCATGAAGAACCTACAAGCTAAGGAGACCAGACGGCACCTATTCAGGTGTGATGGTCAAGGGATCAGTTGTCCAAAGGCAACAAAAAATTCATGTTAGTGTACAGACCAAAACTGCACTTTGTGAATCTCAATCTTGTATTTTCCAAACTGACTTTTCCGAACGGAACTAACCCCAACCGAAGTTTTTGTGAACCTCAGCTATCTGGACCTCAAACCCTAAATGAAACAGATGTGTTTCATGAGGTTTGGGGTTTTGTAACAGGAGATTTCCATGCTTTTAATACCCAAATCTACACCTGTTCCTCAAACTATAAGGGATAGATTTATGTCATGTACTGTAGTGGGCTGATCCTAACACCCTTGTCGTGAGACAGATTTACTGTAGTTGTCAAGACAGATTTGCTGTAAGAAGTCAATACCTCTCAGCCTGCTGGTGCCTTAAGGAGAAAAGGACTGGATGTTTAATGCTGTAAATATTTTATTCTTGCTCTGCCATACAAACCTTGCATGACCTCTCAAAAACAACTTCTATTATGCCCCAGTTTCTCATGAATAAACTGAGGACAACAACACTTCTGAGGATGGAGGGCATGACTGATGAAAACAGGATAATTCTGACTGGGAAGATGTAAAAAAAAAATGTGTCTTTTCCCTTCTAGGCCCTATTATTTAAAATTAATTCTTTTCACTGTTTTTATTGCTCCTTAAATAATCACTTTAGTTTTCTTTCTTTTTTTTTTTTCTTTTTTTTTTTTTCTGGACCACAGCAGCGCACCTTTTAGACGCCTCTCAGCCTTAGGGTCTCTTGGTCTCTCTCCAGTGCTGCTACTGTTCCCTTAGGGAGGGAATAAGGCATCTTGGAAGAATTTTGGGGTTTGAAGGGCTCAGCAGAGATGCTGAAGTCAGCAAATCTGACATGGGTCTTTCCAGAGTGGAAATGCAGAGGAATAAGACAAATATTAAGGCTTGACCATCAAGTACTTTTGTCTGCTCCAGGTCTCCTGTGAGAAGAGGGTACATTGCTGTATCAGGCAGGACTCAAACCCCCAGGTCACAAACATGTCCCTTGTATTCCCCTATTTCCCTAAACACTGTGAAGGGTACGCTGAGCGCTGGATTTTCCGATGGGTTAAAGACTCTCTCATCCATCTGAGTCTGGCCCAGCCTTGAACACAACTCACATTTCACCGGTCCAACACATACTTACAGGCTCCTTTATATTATTAGCTCACATAGAGTTTGCCATGGATGGACAGTTAAATGTTGGCTCTGCTTGTGTGTGCTTTTTTTTGTCTGTTTCGGTTTTGGTACGGAGCTTATTTCTGCTCAGGGCATTGCAAAGCATTCAGAGTAAGCATGCGCGTTTTCTCTTTCTGTACAGGGCAACGGAGTCGGTTCAGGAAAAAGATGAACAGTTTGGATAGAAGGACATGGAGCTGGCCACAAAAACTGATAGCACGAGCTGCCCCTGTTTGGTGGGACAGATAATACTGGTGGGGCAACTGGAGCTACCTCGCTCTTCCCTGGGTGTGCTGCACCAGCTGTTGTGGGGTTTCTGCGCCGGCACACGAGAGCAGAGCTCGGAGAAACAGCAGAGAAGTTGCCAGGGGCTGTCTGGGAGTCCGGTGGATGTGTGTGCAGAGGAAGCATGAGCCATTGCACCAGCTATTTGGCAGTTGAGGAGCACGTCTGCGGAAACCAGGCCTTCTCTGAAATGTGAGTTATGCCATTTCTCAAAACTGCGTGTAGCAAGAAATGACTGGGAGGCCAGTGATTCATTCCGGGTTAATGTAAAGGTACCAGAGGGGCTAATATAAAGGAAGAAAATTGATACTGGCTTTGCAGTGTCTGTGTTGCAGAAATGTGTACAACTGTTTCCCAGGGAAAGAGTGGAACAATCCAATGCGATATTAAAAACAAAATATACCCACCCAACAACAAACAAACAGCCATGGGGACGTAAGGGATGGTAACAGTGCTTGGATATCTGTAAATCAGTGCAGACTGCACAGGTATTTGCTTACTGCCATACATTTCATTGCAGCTGAAAGGAAAGGGCCCTTGTGAGATGGAAGAAATGGTACAAGAAAACGTTGCTTGAATTGTAGCACTGTGATTGTTGCGTAAAATACACTCTGGTGTGAAGCCATTGGAGTTACATGAGGGATGGATTTAACCCTTTGGGATGAATACTCTGGGGAAATTAAAACTAGCTATAAAAGCTATATATAGTTGAAAAGGCTATGGTAACATTTTATACGATATGAACCATGTTCTATTCTTTACAGAAACCCATATCTGTAAAAAAGCAATTAGAAGTGCTTCCCTGAAAAAAGGCAATTGAATGCAGTGAATGAACTGCAGGAATTGTACAGTTTCCAGAAAATGGTGGTAGTGAAGCATTTGTGGGATCCATAAAGTCACCATAAATTCCTAACTGAATATGGATTCACTCTCCAACTCTAAAACCACAAGATTTATTTCCTGCTGGCAGGGGAGGTGCAGTTTTCAGAGCTAGATCTGTCTCGAGAATGCCAGCAGGTGGTGAAAGCTCCAGCATGTTCCCAAGTATGCAGTGTTCCCATCATCACCTTGACTGGCTGTGTCCTTTCAAGACGAGAGGAGAAGACAGGTCTGTTTTGTTGTTGTTATTGAAGACCTGTTGTGCTTTCCCTGTGTGTAACCATATCGGTGGGAAGGTTTACCAGCACGCACCATGTCCTGTGGGAGAGGGATAGCGTAGTGGATACACTGCTGGTTCCACTCAGGAAGATCTGGTTTTGGTCAAACACTAACTCTGAAGTCGCGTGAGCTCTTTCTGTCTGTGCAGGGAGGATGCTCATAGGCATCCTGTTCAAAGTCACACCAAAAGTTTTCTGGCAGCGAGGATGCTTATGGGTGATTCACGTGTTTGGTGATACAAACATAAACGATGCAGTAAAGGTGGCTTTGTTGCCTTTCTGTGAAATTCCGTGTCCCCCAGGCTTTGGCTGTTTCATGGGCATATGCTTTGGGGAGGAGGCATTGCTGTGGATGGTGGTGGTTGGTTTTGGTTTGTTTCTTCCTCTGTACGTTCACCTTGGCCTGTTCCTCTGGGCCTGGGCTCCAGTTCCCTTCAGACTCCCCTCTCATAACCTGTGCAGTGCTGAATGGGAGAAGGATGCCAGTTCAGGAGCCCAGAACTTGTAGCCGCCTGTAATAGCACCAGAAAGGTGCACAGTAACGTGGTTTTGGGGTCCGAAAGCAGGAGGATAAGTCACAATTTCAGGTAGGACAAAGGAAGGCAGGGCTGTAAGGATTGAAAGAAGCTGCACTGAAACAGAGAACTCTGTGGCTGCAGAAACTTGTAATTATTTGGGCCCTGTCAGAGATGAATGGCTATGTCTCTTTCCAGAGTCATCTGCATAGCTGGGTAAATGTGATTGCATTGATTTAGCGTGTCTTCAAGAGTCTTTTTACAACCACAGGAGCTAGAAATGTCTTTTGTTGTTGTTGCTTTTTTTAATGAAAGCTGACGTTCTGGAGCACAAGTCAGCAGGAAGTGGGGGCAAGTTTATTGGCTGTTTTGGTGGGGCCTGGAGAATAATTCTTCCTTTCTCCTGTCTTTTGTCTGTTCAGACTGTAAATTCATTGAAGCGGGGACTGCTTTCTACTGTGGCTTGTTACAGCACTTGCTGCAATGGATCTGCGTTCTCAGCTAAATCCCCTAAGGCTTAACAAAATATAAATTAGGATAATGGCATAATATGTTATATGTTAAATGGTTGTGGGGGGTGGTTTGTTTACATGAATTATCACCTTAAAACAACAACAACAAAAAGCCCTCTGAACTCCTGGTGAGGCTTTTTGCTTTGTGGCAAAATCTGGGCATTATTCTATACAACAAGGCAGCCGTGGGGTGGCTGTGCCTTGTATCAAGGGAGAGGACATGGGCTCTGGTCTCATATTTACACTGCTCCAAACTTCTCTAAGCTGTGCTCGCTGTTACCACTGGGAAGTTGCTCCCTGCAATTCCTTTGCACAGACTTCAGTGATTGCCTCGTGTCACGCAGTCACAGAATCACGGAATGGTTTGGGTTGGAAGCACCCTTAAAGATCATCCAATTCCAACCCCCTGCCATGGGCAGGGACACCTCCCACTAGGCCAGGTTGCTCAAAGCCCCATCCGACCTGTCAGAGCTTTGACACCCAGGAATATTTCCGAGAAAGACAAAAAGATTTCTCCTTCCTTCAGCTCCTGTGTCAAGGAGGACTTGGCAGTGCTCAGTTAGAGGTTGGACCAGGTGATCTTAGAGGTTTTTTCCAACCTACATGAGTCTGGTTCTATGAATCAATGCATTCCCTGTCTATTTTGTTAAGGGAGAATGTAAAACTAAACTGGGCAGATGTGGCAAAGAGGAAGAATACAACAGGGCTGTGTTAAGCCCTGCTCATGCTGCTGTAGGATTTGTCTCATTCCTTTGTATAAGTGCCAAAAAGGACATGGATGGTCAGGCCTTGGCATCCAGGCTGTCGTGGACGTGTAAGACCTCAGAAAAGATACGTGGAGTGGTGGGTGCCCTCAAAATCCAGAGCAGATTTGCTTGTCTATGTTGAGTGAGAAATGGCAATTGTAGTCCTGCTCAGCACCCCAGCTCATTCGGCCTGTTGTCTGCGCCCTGTTAGATGCTTTGCTTAGGGCAGTGCTGACACCTGGGGGTCTACCACAGTGCAAGGCAGTGGAAAAGTGGTCTCTAGCTCTTGTTTTGAGTGTAGTTAAGCTCAGCAGCAGCAAAACTTTCTGTTACTAAGATACTGGCAGTCTTCATGGAAGCGCATGGCCTGTCTGTCTCTCTCCCAGTGCTGCACTGGCAGCTCTGAGGTTGGAGGCAGTCGGAGACACCTTGGTTTGGCTTTGCAATATGAAGCAACCCTACAATTGGCAAATATTACTGCCATGGACCAGCCCTGCGTGCGGGTTGCTTGCTAAATCCTTCCTGTGCCGTATCCTGCTCCCCCAGGAAGGGATGCTGTGTGGGCATCCCCTGTCCTCTCCCACTCCTCAGTGGCTCCTGAAAGCAGTGTAATGTTGCCGGGCCTTTGGTGCTGCTCAACACAACCGTCTGCACACCAGTATGTCCACACACTGGTGCGTCCACACACCAGTACGTCCACACGCCGGGACGTCCGCACACCAGGACGTCTGCGGCCCCGCTTCCGTCACGCATCGCCCCGCTGTTCCTGGCACGCCTCAGGCAGACCCGAGGGAGCCTCCCTGCAAAAGCCGAGCGGTGTGAGAGCCGAGCGGAGGAGGCCAGCGGTCTGTCAGCAGGTCGTCCAGCCTGGGAGGAGGCAGAGACAGGCTCATGCCGGCCGCGGCACCGCGGCATCGCTCGCTGTAGATTAATGTGGGAGAAGGTCCCCGCCGACAACCCCTGCGAAACAGTTCAGCTTCAAGTGGAATTGCAGTGGTCCTTTCAGATAAGTGTATTTTTGCCAGCTGATCCACAACAGCACTCCCAGCGGTGGGGAAAGCTGAAGCTGTTACTGTAAATACAAAAGGGAAGACATACTTGGCATCCCTTTGCGTTAGAGCTGGCTCAGAAGAACGTCTGCGTAGCTGTTCCACTGCCAAGATGGATTGTAGTCAGATAGTACACATTGCAAAGGAACCAGAGCACACACTGAGATCTGTTGGCTTTTTTTTTAACAATAGTTTATTTGTGTTTCAAAGGGATAGTTACAGGAATCCAGATCAATATGCTTGTCCAGAACTGTGCCTTCCTATTTTAGGGCCTGGATGAATAAGAGGTTACTTGAGTTCACATGCATATGGAGGAACCGGTGCCTGCGGTAATGCATCCTCCCAGGCTCGTTACTTTTCCTTTCTGAAAGTGGACGTGGAAGAGCTGCAGAGCTGGAGTTGCCATTGTGCCACTTGCTGGAGTTTTTCCTTGCTCCAGCAAAGTCCTCGAGGCGGTGCCGGTTAGGCGAGGCGCCGTCCCAGTGGGGAGCCAAACACCCCCCTTGGGTGGTGTGTGAGTGAGCATCCCTCCAACCTGTCTCCTGAGAGCGTGCTGGGGCTCGGGTGGGATCAAACATGTCTCAAACACAACAAAGATCATTTCAGTGCAATGCTCTGACTTTTTCTATCAAATATTATAAAAGGACAACTTTGATGAAAAGACGTTCAGCATTTCCCAGACCCAGATTTTGAAACCATCTGTATTTCTTCATGGTTTCAGCACTCTCTCCTATTTGTTCAGACAAGAAAAATGCTTCAACTAGTGGAGTTAGTTGCACAGGCTAAAAATCTGCTTCCTGATGGTTCTGTTGCTGAAATTGTTTCAAAACCCAGTTCAGACAATGACTTGTAAGTGCTTGAGAATTAGACCTGTAATTGCTTTGAAAATCTGCGGTGTTTATTTTTTGTTGTTTTGTTTTGTTTTGGTCCTATTTTTTCCCTACTAATTGTGATATATTTCTAAGAGACCCAGGCAAAACAGGAGTTGGAATAGACTTGGGTACCCAGATGGTCAGGGTAATAGTAAGATATTTTCCTCTACAGAATCGTCAGTCCTGATTTATAGCAAGCAATAGATTTCTGGCATTTTTAAGCAGGCATGCACAACTGCTGCACCTGGGCTGTTGAGGGTAAAATTGTGTCCATTACTTGAGCATATACGGTATCTTGCTGATGATGAATTATGCTGCTCATGCTTTGAATGGTGCCACTGCATTTTTTGTGAAGTGTAGACTCAACAAAGTATATCAGCAGACGGAGCCAGTTTCTTCTGAATTTCAACCTACAACAACTTTCTCAACGCACACTGGTCTACGTCGATCCAAGGGGC